GCTCCAAGGCCAGCCAGCCCCTGCCTCCCCTGTATTCTCTGTCTGCCTGGGTTCTGCTGGTGGGAGGGATGCAACCCCAGCCACGCACCCCCACCCCCTCCACTCCGCCACCTCCGAGGTCTGGCTCTGGGGAGTAGCATCACGTTCAGCCTGGCAATCGACCCAGCTCCTGGGTGCCCGCTCCGCCCACCACCCCCTCAGCACCCAGACCGGGTTTTGCACTAAGGCAGTCGTCTGGGCCAGTGACAGTCCCAGCCCATGCCCCACTACCCTCCCTCTGGAAAGGTCCCTGAGGAGCTGTGAGGCTCAGGCCAGCCCTCCTGTCCCTCCTGCAGCCTGCCCTACACACCCACCTCCACGGCATGGCATTGGCGTCCTCAGTGTGAGCGCGCCTGCGTGGGTGGGCTGGGGTGGAAGTGGGGCCTTCCAGGCTGGGGCGTCTGCCCAGTGGGGCATCTCCAAATCCTCTCTAGCAATACGCCTGCCCTTTCAGGAGTCCTCACCCCAACCCCCAGACGCCAGCAGTTCTGGCTTGGTAGGCTCTGGGAGCCAAAGGCAGTTAGGGTCCAGCCCCCCAGCCCTGTGGGGGGGTGGGGGGTGGGAGCACCAGCAACTCGGACCCAGAAGGAAAGTAGAACCCCCTGATCTCAGTATGTCCGGAGTCCTCAGCCCTCAGCCAGCGCGCACTCTGATTCTCCGGCCTCCCCTGGTCTCCCATCACTGTCAAACTGGAGTTCAGCATCTTGTTACTAGAGGCTTGGGGGGCAGAGCTGAGAAACAGTGCCCGGATACCACCCGAAGCCCTGACCAAACACCACGGGCCCATGCGGGATACTCAGCTGCCCCAGCTCTTGGGGTCGAGCAGCGCTCCCAGGTTGGGCAGGGCCGTAACCTGGGGGCAGAGGGGAGTGAACCCACTGGGCTGCTTTCAGCCCAGAGGCAGAAGGAGGCTGAGTCCCTCCACCCCTTCCCTATCCTCCAGTGCAGAAATTCCAGAGGCCAACGTCACCAAAGTGGAATCGAAATGTTTTGTTAGTGTTTCTTTTATCTTTCTTTTTACCTTACTGAATTGATGAATCTTGAAATTGACTCATTTCAATAAACTAAGTTCAAATATGGCTCAAACATGTAAGAAAACAACCGTCTGAGACATGCAGGAAATTGTGAGCATTTTGACCTGATTTCTCATTTCCTATCTGTAAGTGGTAGACGCAGTCTACCCAGGAGCATCCGACGGGGATAAGGGGGTCCCTAGAGGTCCCTGTCTCCCCAGGGAGCCCCAACATCTGAGGCCCATGGATCGCCAGGGCCCTCCCTGAGTCAGCCATGGCCACTGGGCAAGGCTCCTTGGCATTCCCTGGCTGCTGGGGAGCTGCGCCGTAAGCCACGAGGGCATCGCCCGGGCATGCAGGTGTTCTGGTCCACGCCTCACCCCAGTTCTGGGTGGACCCCCAGCCCCATCGAGGACAGGGCCACCCCAGGGAGGTAGAACACACCCCACCTGAACCCACCTCCCCAGCTGAACACTGCTCCCTCCACCTGCCAGACTCCGTTTGCAAACCTAAGGATGAACTCTGCCTTCTGTGAAATCTTGGGGAGCAGGCCCATGTGGGCCCTCAGCCACCTCACCTACCCCACAGAGGTGGCGGCAGGCAGGACCAGTGAGGGAAGGATTCAGCCCTGGCCCCGGCCCAGCCTGAGCCCACTCAGGGCTCTGAGCCAGGTCACCCCTGCCCCTCACAGACAGAGCAGGGGGTGGCTGCTGGCAGGCCTGCACAGGCCTTCTGGGGCCATGGAGTAGCCTGCAGGCCAGCAATGCCCAGGTACCCAGGCTCCAGGAAGGAGCAAGTCCCAGGGACAGCTGGAAAGACACCCCACAGGGCTCTCGTTAGCAAGGGCAAAGCCTCAAAACCGTGCCTCAGTTGGACATGTGTGTTGGAGGGGAGGTCTGGACCAGTCACCGCAGCGGCCTTCCACGCCCTCTCTGCTCAGCATCTGGCCATGCTCCTCCTCCCCTGAAAGTGACAGGCACCCAGGACCCTTCAGAACAGGGTGAGGAGAAGGACCTGTGTCCCCCAGAAAGACCAGCAGCTTTGATCTATATCGGGGTTCCACATAAAACCCTCTTAGGAGTCTGCGACTGACGCGGTCTGCAAATCCCTGACTTCCAGGATCTAGAGGCTAAGCCGTGGCGACCAAAAGCTTCCTCCTGCCTTTGCCAAGAGTCCTGGAAAGGGCTGGGGGGGTCAGGGCCATGCCAGGCCCTAAGCCGGGCCCTCCCTACCCCAGCCTCTGCTGAATCTGCACTCCCTGCCCGGTCACCCCATGGGCCATCCCGCGGGAGGACTCCTGTGGGCTGAAACTGCGGCAGCGTGGTCAGGAAGGCAGGGGACGCCAACTCCAACCTGAGGAGGTAAAACTTGGCACCTGCAGCCCGCAGTTCTGGGAGGCACTGGCGTGGGGCACAGGAGGGACAGAGTGTGCCTCTAGGTCAGGGATAAAGGGAATCATGGCGCTCAAAGGAGGCCCGCAGGCAGGTGTCCCCTGGGGTATGAGTTCACAGCATGACAGTCATCCTCAGGGAAGGGCCTGGAAGCAAGTGGCAAATCCTCCCGGACACTAAGAGGCAGCAGCAGTGTTTGCTGAGCACCTGTATTCAGCAAACAACTCCAAGACTTCCAAGTCCTCTCCCGAATCCACCCTACACCCGTACAAAAGGCGACTGGTCTGCAGGAGATGGGGCGCTCTCTCCCCGGCACTCAGGTGGTGCTGCTGAGTTTGTGGGCGGGGTGTGCTCCTCCATCCTTGTCTTCCTCTGGCCTTCTTGCCACCCCTCTTCCCCACTCTCAGTTCTGGCTGGGGAAGAGGACACTTCCCAACACCTAAAAGGACAGTCCTTCATATCTGACAGGCATCCGACGCCTCCCAGCACACGATGAGAGTCGTCATGGTCTTGGTCCTCACGGCAGCCCTGTGAGGTAGGCATTCTACAGAGGACCACAGCCAGGCAGGCACCTCAGGGTAGCCAGCCTCTGGCCCTGCAGGCCGCCTGGACAGACAGGTGCAGCAGGGCTGGGGTTTCCTTGTGTGACTGGCTCTGGCATCTGGCAGATAGACCTGCCCCAAGCGGCATTTGCTCTGGGAGCCAGGGGCTCACTCAGCCTCCCCTAGTGGCCTTCCCTGCTTTCCTGGCTGTCCCCAGGCACAGCCCCAGAGCTGGGCAAAGATGCAGATTTCAGACAATCCCTGGCCTGGCCTTGTAGAGATCAGCTTGGGGCCACCTCTGCCCCAGGGCTGTCCCAGGATACAGCCACCTCCCCCCGTGGGATCACCTGCACCCACTGCAGTCATGACACACGTGCAAGCCCATCAGAACATTCACACTGGAATCCGAAGACAGCATGTCCCAGGTTCACGCACGCACACACGCTCCTGACACACCACATGCAGCACGCATGCCTTCCCAGCACAGCCGTACGCCTGCCGGGGCGGAAGTCCACGGCCTCGCGGGTCCCTCTGCTTCCCTGAGCGGCTCCCCTTTCCCCAGTCCATGACGGGGCAGAGGCAGGGGCGGCCAGCAAGGGGACACTTCCCCAGCGGGTGTCCCAGGCCTGGAAGCAGCCTCCCCAGATCTCCAGGTGGAAATGGTTCAGGCCTCCAGGTGCTGGCACTGGTAGCCAGGTGGGCCTAGATGAGTCTCTCCTCGGGTGGCACCTTGAGGACACTGTCCATCTCCAGCCGGGCTCCAGCCACCTCCTGCTGGCTCGGGCTGTAGGTGCCCTCTGACTGGCGGCGCTTTCTGGCCGCCAGGATCCCTGAGAGGAGGCCTAGGAGCAGGAGCAGGAGGCAGGCACAGGCAGCAGGCACTGCCACCTCCAGCAGCGGGAACTGCGGCGGCAGGGCCAGGCCCTTCTGCAAGAGAAACCATGAGGCCTGAGACCCTGGGCCCTCCGGAGCGGGGCAGGTGGGGCATGAGGACATGCTCAGAGAACAGAGCTGGGAGCAGGCTTCCCTGGCAGGTGAGAGGCCTGGTCCCAGGGGCACACAGCCGGTGTCAGGAAGCCACCTGTCAGAGCCATGCAAGGAGCCCTGTGCAATGAGGCAGCTCTGTCTAGGACAGGGAGCCGACACTCGAATGCCTAGTGCGAGCTAAGCACTGCCCAGCTAGAGGGGAATGGGCCTGCCGAGGGGCTGCTCTGACAGCTTGCCTTCCCCAGGCGTGGGGGCAGTAAGCTTCCCATCCCCAGCTGCACTCCGGGTTCTACACACCTGGAGTTCTGAAGCCCCAGAATCACCATGAAGGACTGGGGTCCCTGAGTGGGTTCTCCTGGGGCAGCCCTAAAGCCATTTCCTCCCTGCCCTGGGAGGAGGGTGGAGGGGAGCCTGAGGCTGTAAAAGCTCCGCTTGAAAGGAAACACTCCCCAGAAGCAGAGAGAATTTGCGGTTTATGACCCGGGCTGCTAGGAGCCTGTGGAGATCAAGGCTGTGCCCAGACTTCCCTGTCCAGACCCCTGGCCAGCACCCCACTGTGGGCTCAGCCCCACAGCTCGAGCAGCCTGCTGGCTCCAGCCTACCCAGCCCCCTCTCGGCTGTGCTCCCTGGAGTCAGGGCACCTTCACAGTGGCCGGCTCTGCTTCCGCTCAGAATCTGGGAGTCCCTGACTCTTGCTACTCCAGAACCCTGGCACAGAAAATCCTCAGGGATTACAGGCGCTTGGGTTCACCAACCTGAATTCTAGGATTCCAAGGTCCTGTGGGCCCTGAGTCCTGATCCCTGATGGGACTGGCAGAGCCCAGCTGTCCCCCATGCCACCCCCCTGGGTACTGTGGGGAAGCCTCTAACCTGAGCCTGGCTAGAGGTGCCCTTAATGCAGGATGTGGGGTCCTATCCTTGGAGTGAAAATACCCCCTGCATAGGGGGCGTGCTTTCCTGCTTTCCCTGCCACTCCCACCCATAACAGTTGGTCCAGGGTCAGCCCATGGCGTGATACGCCCCCCCCGCCCCAACACTGTCCCACTGAAGCCCCAGTGGGCATCTGCTGTGGCACACTCACCACCACCTCGCAGAACTGGCCGGAGAACCTGGTGCTGCAGAGACACTCATACACCCCACCAGCTGCCTGGCAGGTGCCCCCATTCAGGCAGGGGTTGGCCTCACAGGGGAGCGTAGGGACCCGACACCTGGGGAAGAAGAAAGGCTAAGAGTTGCTCCCCAGGGCTGCTGTTGGCCCTTAGCTGCTTTAGCTCCCAATCTCCCTATCCCAAAACAGGCACCGAGTCTTGTCCATGGCCCTCCTAGTCCCGCCTGGCACTGTTCCCACCTGCCATGCCCCTTCGCCCCAGCGTTCATGACTATGTGGTCCTGGCTCAGCTGGCCTAAGAAACACCCCCAGGAATCTACAGCCAGCAGGGTCTGCATAACTGAGGGTAGTCTGGAAGGCCCAAAGGAAAGTATTCAGGTGACAGGAAGGACTGGCACTGTGCAGGCAGAGGGACGAGGCGGCAAGCAGGGCTCGCATGGCGCTTCCCTGTACTGCTGAGGGGCTCTACAGCCCCCACCCCACCCTGCCTCCCCACACTCACCTCACAGCTCCCCTGGGCCCCAGACCCACCTCCGGCCACCAAAGCCCTCCTGGCAGCTGCAGTTGGCACTCTGGAGCCCACCTTCACATGGGCCGTCACTGAGGCAGGTTACATTCAGGCTGCATTCCCCGGGCAGGACAGGCAACCTGGCAGGGAACAAGGGGTGGGCCTGGCTGACCTCGGGCTGTGCCCTGAGCCCTCGTGCATTCCCGTCTGTGGAATTAGGGCCCCCTTCCTATAGACCTCAGACCAGTCAGGGGAGTCTCGGCTGAGGCAGGAGGGAGAGGACACAGGGCTGTCATTCTGCAGCCCCGGCCACACCCGCACCCACGCACGCTGTCCAAGTTCAGAACTCGGGCCAGGAACCTTTCCCGAGTCGCAGAGACCTTTGAGAAGCTGATGAAGTGCAGGATCTCTGCGGCCAGACATTCGTTGGCTGTGGCGGTGGGGGTGGGGGTGGGGGTCGAGCCAAGACTGCATGAGGGAAGGAACAAAGGCTCTGCCCTCCTCCCTCTGCCCCTGACCCAAAGGACAAATCAGAGAATGGACGGCAATGGTGGCAGCCAAACGGAAACCTCAAGTTATCTTCCAGACTAGCCCGGATCACACGCTGTTGATCGGAAGTTCAGACTTAACTGCGTATTTTAACCTGCCTCTTCTCTGCACGTTTATCAACCTGGTCTGTCCTCCCCATGTCACATGTAAGGGCCCTGGGGAAGGGACTGGCCTACAGAGCCCTGACTCTCCAGCAACCGCCGTCCCGCCCCCAGCCCTC